ACATGAACCATCAAAACCTCCGAGCCTCGTTTTCAGAATCCTGGATTTTGCCCACCTCTGGACTAGCGGACTGCTGTGGGGGTCGCCCTGGCAGTGGCACGATATGGGTCACATTTGCTGCATGTTTTTGACAGCGGCAGCCTTTTTTTTTTTTTTTTAACAGGGCCTTATGGTCCTGGCTCCTTTCCATTCTGGGGAGCGTCAGTCCGGTTCCTATTCCACCGGCAAGTCAGAATGAACTTTACATTGTGAACAACACACGCTTCCTTCCGTCTGGCCGAAGGACCCCTGGACAGCATTGATTACTCCAGACCTCTGGAGGATTGACTGTCAGCTTGCCATGTTTCATTCTTCCCTCTCAGATCAAGTCCCAGATCTGCCAGATCTATCCCTATCAACAAGAAAGAACCACTCCACCAATCTTTTCTTTTTTCTTTTCCCTGGATTATCTTTCCAACGTTACAGACAAAACCTCCTATTGACCCTCTAACAGCGTAAGCCCTTCTTACAGAATTCTACAACCCTAAACCCTTAAGCCGTTTCCAGCTAACTTAATCCCTTTTTTTTTCTTCAAAACAAACAACCTTTAAACCTTAACCCCTTTCTATTGACTGTCTTTCAACCCCCCTTCTCCATTTAAATACAAGGTTAGTTCCCTGCGTGGTTGCAACCGCTCCTTGGCCCAGGACCTTGGTATTGAATTTCTTCCTAATTTCCTTCTCTTGCCCCGGATTTTGCAGAATTTGGGCCCCGACCCTCTTCCATTGCACACGTAAGTCTGTTTCAAGCAATGTCAAGAATATCTCCCTTGCCTCCTGTATGTGCATTGTACTTCCGTCAATAGTAATTTGACATCTCTTCTTCCAAATAGTCCACAGGCTATATTGATGTATCAACTGGAACATAAGCTTCTCCAACGACAGCCACTGCCTCGGGATTTGGATCCCCAACAAAAGGGAAAWTTTAGTACCTARCCWTGGGACCTTCGAGATCTGACCCCAGATACTCCTGGCCTCATCCCAAATGATGACTGCTCCCGTACATTCCAACAGACAATGCTGCATTGATTCTGACAC